AGCTACTAAAAATAGTATAAAAAATATAAAATATAAAATAAAAATTAATATACTAAGCCAGCTTGCAGGGAGGCTCTAAGACCGAACTTTTGAATTGGAGTCTGAGGTCTTTTTTTTTTTAAAGGAGCTTTTATACAAGTCCAAGCCTGGTTCCAACAACCAATTTTAGACATGTAAGGTCAGGCTTTCACGAGTAGAACCAAAAGCCTCTGGTTCGTTTACCACCCTTATTGGAGGGACATCTCCCAAAACTGATTATCTCTCCAATATAAATATGAATGCGTTAAACAAATGTACACATCTTCTACATGAATAAATATCTTGCAGGTATATCCCTCACCTTGTTATAGTGAAGATTTATGAGTTAAAACTGCATCAAATCATTTATGTAGAGAAAACTAATATATTCAGGCCAGATAAAAATGGTTCTGATCATTATAATTTTTTTTTTTGGGTGAGGAATCATTATAATTTATTAATATGATCTTAAAATAGCATAATTATATAAAAAAAACTATTAAAGAGATATTTTTATTTTATTTTTTTTAGCGGTTCATAGTGATGGTATGCAATATTGATATAACATTATAATTAAAATCGTACTTTAATATGAATAGTCCATGATCCAAAGACAAAATGCATGTATACCGAAAAAGAAAGAGCGTGGGCGAAGATTAGTATAAACAAGTGGGCAACATATGCCTTTATAGATTGAAAGCAAGAAACGTATAAAAAATGATGGTAGATCGATTTTGAATAGGTCCAATATAGTGGAAGAAGAAAGTATGACCCAATATAGTTTATAGTAGAGGCCAAGCCATGACCCAATATGTTTAGGGTATTATTTGATTATGAGGCCGTTTAATTTGTTTGGGTATTTTAAAGGAAAAATACACTTTTATATAGGAACAATTAATCAATACAGACATCATTATTGATTGTTTTTTCTTGTAGTCAAAATTCCCAACTCATTCTTATTCTTGGGCATTCGTTTAGGTTATGGACCAAAAATGAAGTGAAACACCAATGAATCCAGCTAAAACGCAGTATATATTTAATGGACTTTTATTTTCTCATGTTACATAATAATTGAATTCTCATGTTGTGACTCAATTAGTGGTGGATCCCACATTTATTAAAAAGAGAAAAAGAAAAGAAAAACTTCACACGTAAATCAACTCATGCATGAGAAAATATTTTTTCATATTTAATATAGAAATAAAGGAAAACAATCGGAAAGGAAAATTTAAACTTGTTGACTACTAAAGGAGAAGGTTTCATTTGATCATGGGTCAGTTCAAAAGTTAAGTATTTGATATTTCATTTTAAAAAATTTAGATTTAAAGTCAAGTGACATTTGTAATGAAAATGCAAAACTAATTACTTCTATTGTATACCCATTATAATTCACACACACAAGGAAAAAAACAAAACTATTTTGCGCTAAAGCAAAGCTTACGAAGAATGAAGATTGAATTGGAGTGTGGAGCCACTCAAAAACAGCACATACCCTACATGTGTCAATCACATGTCCTGGACCTCCTCCTTGAATTGGCCTTCAAAATCCAACATTCAGCTTCCTTCAAGCTCATGCAATCAGATGGTTGTAATTTGGAATCTTTGCCTTCAAGTTACATACTTGCCTACTACAATGGATGGTCATATATCATATCTCTCACATTAAAATCAAAATAAGCGAAAATTATGTTACATCTCTTCAGATGGAGCAATTCAGGCTCTTATTTGCTTATTCATTTTCCTTCTTAATTGCTTAAACTTTGATAATTTAAAATGACATTTATTAATTTATCTCTTTAATAAGTCAAACTTTCTATTACTTATTCTATATAATTTATCATTACATTTCTAATTTTTTTATTAATATAAATCAAATTATTAATTTTATAACCATTTTTTATCTTAAATATAAAATAAGCTAATTTAATATTGAAAAAAAAAAAAAGATTATATGCTGTGCATCTGGTTTTTTTTATCATTACCCTTTTTTTGGGGCTTCAATTGGGCAAAAGCTGAATTCAAATATTTAAATCTCGAAAAGTGCTTTTCTGGAGCTCTGCTGTTGTACACTAACACTACAGTTCACCACACAAACAAAAGGCTCTTTAATTTTGAGCTTTTTTTAATCATTTATTATTATTATTATTATCTCATGCGACCGTTCTAATAATAATTAATGGAAATTACTTTTCTCATGTAGTATGAGAGAAGTTCTTTTAGGTTAAGAGACAAATAAAATGGACCACATTAACTTTTAGAAAAAAAAAAAAAAGAAACACATTTTTTAAAGTGAGAATGATACGAGAGATCAATTTCATGCATATGATTTCCCATAATTAATTGTGTCCCTAATTTTTGCTTCGCTTTATCCCTAGATATACTGGAGAATGAGTAGGTCAAGTGAAAAAGTAATATATGATTGATCCAATATTTGCTTATTCCAATGCTAATAGCTACCAAACAGTGCATAGCTCTTGGTTTAATCACCGCATCTCATTATAAATTGTTGTTTTGTGTTTCTTTTTTTAAAGTGACCAACAAAATTGCTAGTTTCCAAACTTCTTATCAACCTCTTATTTTATAAAGAGCACCTTGATATCCTCGTCCACACTATATAAATATTCTACTCAGCATTACATCTATTAAAAAACACAAGAGTACAATGTTAAGGGGGAAAAAAAAAATTGTCCAGTAAGACTTATGCACCACAAAGAACTGTGGCAGCATCCAACAAGAAGTTGTTGGGTGTCTTCGTGAGAACGCTCGCATTTTACGACCACAAAAGCTTTGTTCACGCCAAACAATTAAGATATTGTTGCTAGAAAGTGGGCTTGATTTAAATGCCCTTTCAAGCTAGTGGAATGGCCAACCAAACATACAGAAATAAATTAAGTTCAATAGACACCCGAGAGTGGTGGCTCAGTTGGTAGCATGAAGACTAAGTGGTGGGAGATGACCTCGGTTCGAATTCCACCAACACCATCTGGAGAGGGGCATAAGTACCGTAATTCTTGAACTTGCACCCGAACTTTAGATTAGTCCCATAGGCGGCTCAAAGAGTCGAACCCGTGGGAATACCGGAGAGTTCTAATTCGCCTCAAAGAGGTAATTATGATCAGTTTCTAAAAAAAAATTAAGTTCAATAGACGTTTTGAAGGATTGAGGGAAAGGTTACAATTGCAATTGAATATTTGCAAATTTCAGTTTGTGTGTGAGTATGATCATAAAAAAATAAAATAAAAAAACCGTGTGGTGTGTGAATATGTATAAAAAAAAATAGTATCTTGTATATGTATAATTAATTAAAAAATATTCAGAATAACAAGTGCCATTTTTTAAAATACAAATAGAGATTGAACTACCCTAAAAAATAAACTTAACTTTAATATATAATAATAGATTATATGTGGCTGAGAGAGGAGAAAAGGAAAACAATAGAAGAAAATTCATGGTCAAAGTTTTAGAATATGAGATAAAAGATGTGTGTATTTTGTTTTTCATTATGGCATGGGCTTAATTGATCAAAATCACTTTCATGAAGGTCAGAGGTAGACTTCACTTAGTTTTCTTCCCAAAATTAAACTACTTCTCGGATTCTACAATTTTTTACTTCCATATCATAATAGGTTATTTAGGTGCATGCGTTAGGTTGACAGTTGGAGTTGATCACTTCCGTTCTCATCTTCCCAAACTTGTTAATCGCCAAGTCAACCAACTCCTTCACGTATATTATTTTGTACCATGACTTTTTGGAATACTACTTACCTCAACTTAATAGATTGTTTAAATTAAAGATTTATGCCTTTATCTTCTTTTAAAAAATAATAGTAATTATTTAGCACATATTTTAAATAATTTATTTTATTATATTAAAATTTTATAATTAAAATATATATATTTTTTTAAAATGTTTGATTATTTTTTTTTTTCTGGTCCAAAATGAACAATTTAAATTAACATTTTCTTATTACCAAAAAAAAAAAATTAACATTTTCTGTATTAAGTATTGAGAGAACGTTTAAGAAGAATTTAATATTACTCATTGTGTGTGTGTGTGTGTGTGTGTAAATTTTGAAGAAAATTATTATCTATTTTTATATTGTCAGATAGTTCTCAAAAACTATATTTTTCAGGCTTTCGTTTTGATTTTTCCTTGGATTCTGGTCTAGGTTCACTATCCAGACTTAGATTTATTTCCTCAATTGGCTTTTGGCTATAAAGAAATCTAAGACTTAATGTACAGAGGACATAACATGAAAAGGTTTTCTTTACATAAATAAAACTTTAATGTAAAGAAATTGTTGTCCTAATTTAAGGTTAGGATAAGCTCTCAGACATAATGAACGCTTAACCAAAACTCACATGTAGCCCACCAAAAGAAGATACTGAATTTGAACCAAAACCGCATGCTTTGTGTAAAAGGGTAATAGTCAAATCCTAGTGAGTATTAAGAAATCTAATTAGGATATATAATAGCAATTATTGTCGTATGGAAGAAAAAAATATATATGATATCACCAAGCAGTGGATTAATTGGAAAGGGTAATTTCTGCTTCAAGTGGAGTCTCTCGAATATAATTATGTATAAGAGAAATTTACTTGTCATCTAATTTTACTCGGTTCAAATTGTACTAATTGAATAATCAGATGTATAATATTAAACCATCATATTATGTTTGGAATAAAAACCAAAACTAGATTATGCTGATGTCGATATTGCAAGAAACACAGCATGCTTCTTCTCCAGATGGATAACGCACATGTGTACATAAACATTGGACCGTTTTGTTTACAGGGTGGAACTAGTCATTGCCGTACAGAAGGAAGAGCAATGAAGTGGCCCTTGGATAATCGTCAAGTTGAATCTACGAACAGTGAAGGACCCACGTGTCCAGCATAATATGGGCCCTTAGTTCAAACATTCTTTACAAGAGAGTGTGTGTGTGTGTGTGTTGGACTGTCGTGCACTGCACAACTGCACATATATGCTTTTGTTCTCTTTCAGCTTCCTTCTAGGATTCTCATTCACACTCGCTTTGCTTTTTGGTCCCTTCTCCCTCCTACACTTTTAGTTTTGTTATATTGTTGTCTTTTTTTTCTTCTTCCTATTAACTGGTAAGTTTCTCATAAATCTGAACTTGCTCGTTTTTTTGTTTGAAGTCCAGTAAAATTTGGCGGGTAGAAAACAGATTTGTACATCTAAGTAAAGGATTTAATTGAATTGCATTTTTGTTAGCTTTTGGGTACCCTTCTTCTTCCCTATTTTGGGTCTCTGGTGTTGAGAAATGCACTCTTTGTTCTGTATAATTGTGATTTTTGTAAATTGACTTTTTGGGTAGTCATGATGGGTTGTTGTGTTAACTGGTAAGTCATTATTCATCTGTTCCTATAAAATTTTCTCGGTTGTCCAACTCAGTAATGCCAAGCTCTAGCTTTAATTTTACAGAGAGTAATTGTGATTATGAATGATGTATGCTCCTATGTGTGTTTTTGAACTTTCAGGTGACTTCTGTGAATTACTTTGAAATTTAGAGTAATAGCTTACTCTTATGGACCAAGTAACATGATTAACTATTACTAGTGATATGTTTTTTACCATGATTTGTTCTGATGTACCTTTTGGCAGGCTTGTCAATGGATTGGATGATCAATAGGGAATATCAAATAAGGAGATGAAAGAGGAGTCAACAGGACTGATTATTGGGGTTTCCATAGGTGTGGTTATTGGAGTTGTTTTAGCAATTTTTGCACTCTTCTGCCATAGGTTGCATCGAAATCGTTCACAGATAGGCAATAGCAGTTCCAGGAGGGCTGCAACCATACCCATCCGCACAAATGGTGCTGATTCTTGTACTATTCTATCAGACTCAACCTTAGGTCCAGAATCTCCTGTAAAATCAGGACGGAATGACATGTCCTTCTGGCATGATGGGTCTAGGAAGAGTAACATGGTTTCAGCATCTGGACTACCTGAATATGCATACAAGTATGAGTTTCTTATATGAGGTTTCCTTCATGTACCATTCTTCTTGTTCTGCGATGAGCTTTACTTGCATGAGACTGAGAATAATAAGTTTCTGTCCATTTTTCTTATTTGGAAAAAGAGGGTGAGCCTGGAGCGGTGGCAAAGTTGCTCCTTTGTAATTGAAAGGTTACCAGTTGGGGTTTAATTGAAAGTGATTTTTTTTTTTTTTCTTATTTGGAATATGAAATGGTCCATTCAACTTGCATGCTTCATTAATCATGGTCTCTATATTTGAAGAGAAATAGTCTGAAGTTATTGGGTTGAAAACATTTGAATATCAGACATTGAAATAGAGGAAATGATGGCTTTAGAACCTTAGTTTTACCATCATTAGGCATTTTAGTTGTTAAAATAAATACTTGATTGCTTGTAGGATTGTGCCTTTTTGGCACATGCTTTATATGCCTCTGTTACATAGATGCATGCAATTTTTAAGTCAAAACATAAATGTTTTGTTTGAAAATGTGTAAATTTTACCGACCACTAATTGTTACTGAGAGTAAAATTCAAAATGTTTGAGCACCCAATGAATTGACTGCTTTTTTATTATTCTTTCTATTAAATGTTTTATCCATGCTTCAGGGATTTGCAGAAGGCAACACATGATTTTACAACAGTCATAGGACAAGGTGCATTTGGTCCTGTTTATAAAGCTCAGATGCCTACTGGCGAGACTGTTGCAGTTAAAGTTCTTGCAACTAATTCTAAGCAAGGGGAGAAAGAATTTCAAACAGAGGTCGGTTACCAATATCACTTACCATTGCTTTGTCCATCCCACTGACACAGTTATGCTGTGTTTCTTGACATAAATTTCAGAGTTAAGTGTTTGTTAAAAATGGTAACTTCATAAGATTTATGGAGGTAGTGACTAGTGAGACCGCTGAAGAATTTATAGGAGTGATGTGAATGAGTATTGATGATTAAATGTCATTTTGGAAAATTAGAATATTAAGAGCATGATTATTACTATATCCTGAACTGGAAAATATTTTTCTACAAATTTTTTGTCTGTGCTAGCCTTCAGATATATTTAGATAAAGTTATTGGTGACATGGCATTTTTATAGTCTTTACTTATCATATATGTTATTTTCCTGTATTCCCTCCAGAGTAATTTTTCAATTTTAACCTTTAAAATTCTTTTAATTTTTCTTAGGTTATGTTGCTGGGAAGGTTACACCATAGAAATCTGGTTAATTTGATCGGATATTGTGCAGAAAAGGGGCAACATATGCTTGTATATGTCTACATGAGTAAGGGTAGCTTGGCTTCCCACTTGTATAGTAAGTTATTTATCTATCTTTTTGCTTGACAAACCTCAAGTACATTCATGCATAGACTGCTGTTGTTCTATACAAACTTTTGTGGCTGAATGTGTTCACGGAAATATGTATCTGTAAGCAAATTTCTTCGCATTCGTTTGCTCCACATCCTTATACTTTTTCTCCTTCTCTAGACCTAAAGTTCAGGAATTTTGAAAATTTCTGCAAATGAAACGACATGAATAATATATTCATGTAAGTTTTGCATACCCACCCTATACATCTACAAGAGGCCATGAAATATTCTATTCATACCCCCTCAAAGATGTGAAATAGTATTTTGTTTTTGTCTGCCTTTCAATTGATTTTTTTTTTTTTATTCCCTTCAAATGCATTTGTTGTATTGCATATGCGATAATAAATTAAATAACATACGTTTCTTGTCCCTATATTCAGGTGATGTGAATGAAGCACTGAGCTGGGATTTGAGGGTTCAAATAGCTTTAGATGTGGCAAGAGGCTTGGAGTATCTTCATGACGGAGTAAGTTTCCATGTGATCTGCACCAATCTAATTCTGCATTATACATTGTTATAATTTTATGCATTGTCACTACAGGCAGTTCCTCCTGTAATCCATCGAGATATCAAATCTTCCAATATTCTATTGGACCAATCCATGCTAGCCAGGGTAATGTCCTTGTTACTCATCATCTTTATAAAAAAAGGTAGTTTGTATATATATAATACACTCACCTATACAAGCTGGATGACTAAGTATATGTTTGTGTTGTCATTTATTGTTGTTAAGATGCTTCTTAATCTGTAGTTGTTATTGCTGAATCAAGCAGGTTGCTGATTTTGGACTTTCTAGAGAAGAGATGGTGGATAAACATGTAGCTCTTCGGGGTACCTTTGGCTATCTTGACCCCGAGTATATATCTTCAGGGAAATTCACCAAGAAAAGTGATGTATACAGTTTTGGGGTGTTGCTCTTTGAAATTATAGCCGGCAGAAACCCTCAGCAGGGTCTAATGGAATACGTTGAGCTTGTAAGATCTCTTCCTCTTCCTACAAAGCTATACTGAGGATAATGGATCTGATGGTTTTGGGAGATATATAATGCATAACATATATACCAAAACAAGTTAATGTTAAGAAGAAATCTATTATTAGATATATGATGACTCTCTGGTGAAATTGGTCATATCTTGGTTGAATAAATGATCATTGTCATAGTCAACAAAACATACATCAAATTCAAAATAGTTGTTGACTTTGTTCTCTTAGCACATTATGCATAATTCATTTTCTATGCTAATGAATGCTATTGATGGGGTGATTAGGCAGCAATGAATAATGAGGAAAAAGTTGGTTGGGAGGAAATTGTGGATTCTCGCCTTGAAGGAAACTTTGATGTTCAAGAACTGAATGAGGTAGCAGCCATTGCCTACAAATGCATCAACCGCGCCCCAAGGAAGCGCCCTTATATGAGGGACATAGTGCAAGTGTTAACAAGTATCCTTAAGTCAAGGCACCATAGGCATTATCATCACAAGAACTCCTTGTCAAGCATAGCAGATGAAGTTTGCATTGATCCTAATCAGCCAGAAACCAAGATTCCTCACCAGAGAGAAGAATCTATTGATAGTGCAGCAGATACATATGAAGTGTAGAATATGGTTTTACCTTTATCTCTCTCTCTTTGTTTTTCTTTTTCTTTTTCTTTTTTGATTTTTTTTTGGACTTTTCCTTTGGATATATATATGCTTTTTGAAGGTACCATTTTTTCTCTTATTTCAGTTAAATTTGTCTTGCAGAAATGATATTCCAAAATTTGTATATTAGTACTTTCACCAATGAAAGTGAAGTTATAGAAGAGAAAGGTACCTTCCATTCACATGAGCTGGCTACATTTATTTTCACACCCCTTTAACAATCTGCATGTTACAATTTACACCAAAATTGGAGTATTCATAGTATAATTGAGTAAAACCTTAAATTGGAGTACTTGGACTAATGCAAGTTGTCGAGAAAATTGATAGGTTTTAACACCCCTACTTCAAGAAATTGCATTTAGGTTAGGAAAAACTGTTTAAGAATCAGACTCTAGCATGTTGAATCACTCTCTATTGTGGATTGATTGAAGAACTTTCCTTGCAAGAACAACTTCGAAAGTTCTTTTAAAATACATCTATGCATCTTGTTGCGAAGTCGGCAAGTATACCGTTCGTTTCAAGTAATAAAGTGATAAGTAGAGTATCGTTCCCACGAGGATTAATGCACCAACTACTAGTTTAACTATTCCCCTTAAGTTGGAAAATAAAATTGGTTTGAGTTGAGAAAGTAATTGAATTTGGAATTTCAAAACAGAATTTAAAAATAATTAAATTTAAAACAAAAAATTAAAAACAATCAAGGTTGAACGCATGCAAGAAGATATCAAGAACGCGAGAAAATATTGATGAAAAATTTATAAAAAGTATATAGCCAGGATGCACTTCACCTCCTTTCCTCCCTTATATTCCTGTATTGTATTTTATAATCAATTAATTCGTTTGTTCAGACAATTCATTATTTTCCTATAAAATAGTTGAACTCTAATGTCTTAGTGATTTCAACCCTTTAACCCAATCAGAACTCTAATGTCTTAGTAATCCCTTTTAAATTAAACATTAAGCAAATGAATTATGAGTCTGTAATTTATGTGAGCCTATGTCTAGATCATACACAAATTGTTATTCTACCCTTGTCCAGATTAAAACCCCCAATATGTCTATTGTGAATTCTAACCCTCAAAGTCCTATAATTTAGAGTGGCCAGTTCTAAACAGGATATGAAAAAATTAAACCAGGTAAAATAAAACAAACAAACTAATCAAATTATAAAATATCAATACAGAATATATAAAGTATTCACATCGGGTCCGTGATCCTAACTACAAAAAGAAACTAGACAAACATATTCATGTATGACTTTAACAAATTAAAAGAATAAAAATTGTTCATAAACTAAGAAGTAAAGAAGAAGAAGAATAAAAACTCGATGTCTTTAGCCTTCAACTCCTGTGGAATCCTGATCTCCAGCGCGAGCCTCCAAGAATTCTCTCAATTCTCTGAACCTCACAATTCTCTCTAGCCAAAGATGTTTTTCTTTGAGGCTTGAGTCTCTATTTATAGAGTTTATGACCTTGTGTAGAAATCTTGATTGGATCTTTGTCGTAAATCTCTGTCTAATCTTCCGCTGATGCAGAAAAAGATTTAATGCTGATTGTCCGCACCTTCCACGCTACTAGCGTGGGAGTTTTGTTCACAGTTCTGGAAGCCCACACAACTAGCGTGGTTCCCACGCTGTGAGCGTGGGTTGTGGCGCAACTAGCGTGAGTTTCACGCTGTGAGCGTGGATGTCTCTGGCTGATTTTTGCTTCTGGCGCTACTAGCGTGAGTTTCATGCTAGTAGCGTGGGACTTCGATTTCTTACTTCTAAATTTGGCTCCTTGTTGTCCTGCTTTTCCTACAAAATCGAAGAAAATCAGTTGTATAATCTTTGATTGAGATTTTAACAAATCAACAGTAAATATTGCCTTTTTATTCAAGCTTAATCAATATTCTTTCTCTTTTTGGCTTAGATTTATATATATGCTGGAGGCATATCACATCTATGCAGTTTACAAAAAATAAAATAAAAACAAATATAAAAATACATCAATGAAATTTACAAACAAAAATCAGAACCATTATCTTATCACTTGTTGGGTCTGTGGCCCATGATGGATCCGGCTCAAATTCTTGATGCCTTAGTCTCTTGCGTATAAAAGATGCTTAGATGCTAAGTCGTAAGTGTGTGAAAAGAGGGAGAAGAAGAAGAAGAAAGAGAAACAAGTAGAGAAAGTGCAAGCCAGAGACGAAGATTATCTGAGGAAGAAACCCAACGTCATTGCTGAAGAAGAATACTATCTTGTAGAGTAGGATTCCATATCCCTTTTACAGAGAAAACATTTATGTGAGGCATTTGTGAGTAGATCCATCATTTAGAGGGTGAAGTCCTCTGGTTATTGAGCCAGTGTGAATCCTTTTGTAATCTCATTATTCATAGTGGACGTTTTTCTAGACGTGGTCCCGTGGCTTTTACTCTTTATATTGAAAAGGTTTTTCACGTTAAAATTTCTTGGTGTTCTCTGTTCCTCCCTAACTCTGTTTGTTTGATTTTTTTGTTACTGTTCATCAACGTTTCCGCAAGCCGACCTGAAGCAGGCCGGGCTAATTGATACCAAGGTTGGGCTCATAATAGCCGGGATTCGAGACACAACATGGTATCAGAGCTTTTAGATCAAGGGCTCTGTGAGGTCAGAGATGGAGGGTGTTGTAGCGCATGAAGGTGACATGTTTAAACTCACCGCGGAGAACTACACATATTGGAAACCCATGATGGAGGATCATCTTTATTGCAAGGATTTATATGAGCCCATTCTAAGCACGGATAAGCCAGAAAGGAAGAGCGATAAAGAGTAGGATCTCTTTAATCGGAAGATGGTTGCTATGATCCGCAAATACATTGACAAGAGCTTGTTCGAGCATGTGTCAACCTATACAAACGCTCATGAGTTATGGACGAAGCTGGAATCCTTAATCCAGAAAAAGACATCACACATAAAGCATACTTGGTACGCTGACTTGTGAAGTTAGAACACAGGGAAAGACAAAGCATGATTGAGCACATGAATTATATACAAGGGGACTGTCAATCAGCTGACAAAGATTGACATGAAGATAGATGACGAGTTTGCAAGCCTTTTTGCTGCTCACCTCGTTGGTAGAGAGTTGGGACACTTTGGTGGTGACACTCAACAACTCAACTCCAGAAGGAAAGATGACACTGGACTCAGTTGTAGACATCCTGCTGAATGAAGAGGGTAGGAGGAAAGAACGAGGTATAACCCAGCAAAATGAAGCAAATGCTGTTGAAAATTGTGGAAGAACGGCACACCGAGGTCGAAGTAAAAGTCGACGTCGTGACAAGTCTAGTGGTCGGTCAAGGTCGAGGCCAGATACTCTCACATGCTTATACTGTGGAAAATCGGGTTGGTGGAAGTCGGGATGCTAGACTTTGAAGAAGGATCAAAGGACGAGCAATGTTAAGCCGGATGCGATAGATCATCAGGAGAAGAGCGAAGACAATTACTTGAATGTAGCCTATAACGACTGTTCATGGGTTGTGGACTTAGGAGAATCTTTCCATGTCATACCCCACAAGAAGTTCTTCTCATCATATCAAGGCGGCGACGTTGGTGTCATGAAGATGGGTAACCAGGTTACCAGCAAGATAGTGGGAGTTGGAGAAGTCATGATGATGATTGACATGAGCTGTAGATTAGTTTTGAAGGATGTCAAACATGTTCCTGATATACGACTCAATCTCATCTCGACAGAAAAGCTTGACGAAGTCGGGTTGGTAAACTACTTTGGTGGAGGAAGATGGAAACTTGCCAAAGGTAGTCATCCAAAAACGATGCATGAGATTGGGCTCATTCTGACACTGGATCTGGATCTCTGCCTCGTCAGCCCAAGGCTTACTAGATGGACTTGCTCTGTATTTATCGAACTTGACCACATATGACCTAACTATTTTCATTCTTAGATGGAAAATGGATCATTTCATATTAAAATTTTATATGATTCTGTAAACTTTTTATATCTATCTTTCTTTCTATTTGTTTTGACAAATTGTAATTATATCACTTATTTAAAGCACGTGAAAAGAAAAATGAATATAAAAATTTCATAATGATATTTTAACTTTTATTGTAGAACTCTTTCATACAGAGGCGGACCGATGTTGTTGCATGTGTCTGCACATGCAGACACAAAAATTTGAGAATTTTTTTTAAAAAGGTGATGATTTAGGTCAAGTTAAAAAAAATTAAAAAGATTGAAAGTGAAAAAAGTAAAAATAGGTCCAAGCTCAACCCAACTAACCCATATAATTAAAAGCTTAAAGTTTAAACCCTACTTCATTCATTTGTCTCTTCTACTTTTTTTAAACATAAACCTTATTAGCTCCAAACCTTAATGGACATCAATGATTCTTAAAATTCAATCTTCATCAAGTGGAGAAGAATTGCATGGGATTTTTCACATTTTTTTGTGAAGCAAAAGTGGTCAACTTTAGATCAAATAGACATCGATAGAGGTTGATTTTTGATCAATTAACCCCCTACAATTAATACATTTAAAATTTTCTTTAAAAAGAATCTTCGGGGACGCTACCCCCGAACCCCCACGTTAAATGTGCACATATAATTTTTTTTTTCCGGGTCTGCTTTCATATATGTAATTTTTTTTTTGGTGGGGTTCATATATGTACTTTTATGCACACAGGACGGGACAAAAGTAAAGTGGCCCTTAACTCTTTCTAATCTAGCTTGTCGTCTTTCACGGGATAGAATTTTGTAGATGGCCTTTTGAAGCTTGTAATCTTGCCACTTTGGACATTTGCCTTGTTTTCTGCGGTTAATATATCTGTCTTGCAAGTTAAAAAATAAAGGAAGAAGAAGATTGTATATCTGGAATTATTCAAATTGAACTTGATTTATTTTTAATTGAACTGAATTGGTTTTATTTGATTTAGAAATCAATTTTGATGTTTTGAACACATTCTAAAAAATAGGATTTGAATTGATTTGTAAATCTTTTTTTTATCTGGATTTAAAAATCAATTTCTAGGGTCAATTAAATAGAAACTTTAGATTATTTATACATCCCACTTAGGGATGTAAAAGTATCAGCCGGCCTAATAGGGGCATATGTTTCGAGCTATATCAAATTTGACCTATTGAATATAGTCATATAGAACAAGTTTAGTCATTAAAAAAGCCTATTTAGATAGCAAGTTATAGACTTTCTTTAACATGAGGAGCTTATAA